TGTTGCACAATGCTTGCACACTGTTGCACTTTTCTCCACAACTTTCTTTCCGCTTTGCATTTCGAGTGACCTACGATGACGGCGGAAAGAAAGTTGTGGAGAAAAGTGCAACAGTGTGCAAGCATTGTGCAACATGTTTTTTTTATGCTAACAGCAACATGACCAACATGTCAGGCTAACAATCAACATATACCAAACCGAAAACCGTGAACATGAAACCATGAACCGAACCGTGGATTTTCTGAACCGTTCCACCCCTAATAGTTGTATGCTGCTATAGGCTTAGACTGCTGGAGGACAACAAAACAACTTTTCCTCAATCTTCTACATTCTACTGATATTCTTCTATTTTTTTTACTGTCAATAATTGACAGTTTCTATCTGCTCCCTCTACTTTTTCTCCTTATTGTACCTTCATGTGACCTGGTTCTATTTTTCGCTTTGACACCATCCAGGAAGGAAGACTTGGCTGGATCAACACTCTCCATTACAGGTGATAGTGTTGGGCCTGTTTTTCAGTGTTTAATCCTGTTGCTCTCTTGCAAGATATTTAGTCTTTGAAGACTTTTCTATCAGAACCTTACTGTACTTTAAACGGAACCAGAACCTTCCCCGTAACCGGCCTGCTGTGATCTTCATGATGCTGAACCGTCTTCAATGTTTTTTAACAAACCTCTCATGCAGGAAACAGAATTGAATTGAAACGCGTTGACTCAATTAAATAGGATTCACTCAACTGACTAAATGTTTGTCTACTAAAGGCAACAGAAATGCTGTGGTTATAAAGGGACATGTCCAGTCCTCAGAGACCTGATGGTTCATTATAACAACCTGAGAAGAATCTGGGTTTTCATCACGAGTTTATTCAGACTTAAATAGGAGTCGATCGTGCAGCTGCAGGATCAAAGCTTACCCAGATCCAGCGCCGCTATCAACCCCAAAGCCACCAGCGCCTCGTTCTGCATAATCATATGTTCGCTGGTTGCCATGGTTACTAAGTGCTTGACTCCTCCTTTCTGGATCACAGTCCTGACAACTTCCTGAAAAGAAACAAAACAAGATGGAAGAAGTGTTGTGATGACCATCCTCTGCACCGCACATTAAAACAAAACAATTCAGATCAGTGGGATCAAACCGATGTTTGCAGTCATTGGTTCAAATCCCAAACAAGTTCATCTGGTCAACGTTGTTCTTCCACACAATAAAACACGGAGAAACAAAATATTCCCGTGTTTTTTTTCAATGTATTCAATTCAAACATTGACCCTGTTAATTTAATTTTTTCAGGTGTGAACAGAATTTCCCTCCGATTCTGTCCATCAGGCTTAATTAGCGTTAGCATTTGGAATCTACTAGCCAGCGATCACTGCACTACAGTCCTATTTTCTATATTTTCTACACATATTCTGATATCTGTAATAGATTGTGCAGCTTGCTTTCCCTCTTTACCCTTTATTGTGTTTAATGTCTGCAGGTTTCATACAGCCATAATATTTAGCATCCAGATGGGAACAAACGATGCTGACAGCAGCAAGAGGCTGCAAGCTCATCGGTTCAACAGACCTGATCTACATCCAGAATGTCTGGAAAAAGGGAGAACTGTGTGAACTTCTAGACTGTTTAGTTCTATACACAGACTGTCCTCTTCTACATCTAGACTGTTTAGTTCTATACAGACTGTCCCCTTCTACATCTAGACTGTTTAGTTCTATACAGACTGTCCCATTCTACATCTAGACTATTTAGTTCTATACAGACTGTCCCATTCTACATCTAGACTATTTAGTTCTATACAGACCGTCCCATTCTACATCTAGACTATTTAGTTCTATACAGACTGTCCCATTCTACATCTA